CTCTCTCTCTCTCTCTCTCTCTCTCTCTCTCTCTCTCTCTCTCCACAGCTTATGTGGGCAGCCTCTTGCCCATGCATGTGGGCATTTCCCAATCCCCCCATCTCCAGTGCTCACATGGGCAGGTAGCCTTGCCCTGGTCCATGGCACAGGTAGGTAGGCTACACACAGTGCCTGAGTAGACGTTCCCCCTGGATTGCTTCACTGTGCCCTCAGGCAGCCTGAGCAACTGTGCCACTGTACTACCACTGTACCACACACATGGGTGGTTCCCTCTCCCTGTGCCCCCAGCCCACCATCTGTGGGCTTCTTTGCACCTTGCCAACTCCTGAAATTGCTACAGGAAGCAGAAGCCAGAAGAGAAGCCCAGAGCAGGAACAGTGGCCAAGTAGGAGCCCATGCGTTCCAGAGTAACCCTTTGTGCACCCCATGCAGCGCACAGGCCTCCAGTTGGATAGTTTTCATAGACATAGTTATTAGAGCTGGAAGGGACCTCGGAAGATCATCAAGTCCAGCCCCCTGCTCCAGGGACAGGAAGTCAGCTAGGGTCAAAGGATCCCTGCAAGATAGGCATGCAAATGTTTCTTAAAAGAGTTCAGAGTAGGTGCTTGCACCACCTCTGGAGGGAGTCTATTCCAGGTCTTGGGGTCTCAGACAATAAAGAAGTTTTTCCTTATGTCCAGCCTAAAACAGTCTTGGAGGAGTTTGTGACCATTTGACCTTGTCATCCCTTGGGGCTGTTCTGGTGAACAGGCATTCCCCCAGATCCTGATGTACACCCCTTATATACTTATAGGCTGCCACCAGGTCACCCCTGAGCCTGCGCTTTTCCAGGCTGAATAGTCCCATGGTTCTCAGCCTCTCATCATATGGCCTGTTCTCTTGCCCTTCAGTCATGCACGTGGCTCTCCTCTGGACTCTCTTAAGCTTTTCCACATCCTTTTTAAATTGTGGAGCCAAGAATTGGATTCAGTACTCCAGCTGCAGCCTCACCAAAGCCAAGAACAGCGGAAGGATGACATCCTGAAATTTGCTTGAGAAGCATCTATAGATGCAAGCCAGAGTTTTGTTCACTTTACCAGCTGTGACATCGCATTGGTGGCTCGTGTTCATCTTGTGGTCAGTCATGACCCCCAAGTCCCTTTCGGCTGTGGTGCCAAGCTTATAACCATGATGCGCGGTTTTTCTCCCAAGGTGGAGTACCTTGCATTTATCCATATTGAATGTCATAAGGTTTTTATCCACTCATTTCCTAAGCCTGTCAGGGTCACCAGCCTATCCTCAGGTATGGACGCTTTACCCCAAAGTTTGGTGTCATCAGTCAGTTTGGCCAGTCTGCTTCTGACACCAGTGTCCACATCATTAATAAAGATGTTAAAGAGTATAGGTCCAAGGATGGAGCCTTGGAGGACACCACTGGTCACGGGGCACCATGATGATTCACTTCTCTCGATTACCACTCTCTGGGTCTGACCTCGGAGCCAATTCCCCAGCCATTGGACTGCAATTTAGCCAAAGCCGCAGTTGGCCAACTTTTCCATGAGGAAATCATGGGACACCAGATCAAAAGCTTTTTTAAAGTCCAAATACATAACGTCAATCTCTTCTCCCTTGTCCAGGCAATATGTTACCTGGTCATAGCAAGAAATGAGTTTGGTCAGGAAAGACCTACCCACAACAAACCCATGCTGGCTGTCCCTCAGGATGTTGCCATCAGCCAGTTTGTCAAGAATGGTCACTTTGATATTGTTTTCTAAAATCTTCCCAAGGATTGAGGTCAAGCCTGTAGTTCCCCAGATTGACTTTCCTCCCTTCTTAAAGATAGGCACCGCATTGGTACTTTACCTGAGAGCCACAAATGCTCAAATATCCTTGCCAGTGGCTGGGCTATGATGCCTGCCAGCTCCTTAAATACTCTGGGGTGCAAGTTGTTGGGACCGGGTGACTTGAAGGTCACCAGCATCTCAAGGTGTTCCTTCCCGAGGTCTACACCATTGTTGGGTATAAATTCATCCTCACTCTGGCCATCCTGCATTGTGTTAGGCAGGGTGGTCCCTTTGGGCTGGTGAAAAACCAATGCAAAATACCCATTAAGCAGGTTGGGTTTTTCCTGGGTGTTGGTTGTCAGTTGTCCCATTTGCTTTAGCAGGGGTCCAGTGTGACCCTTGCTTTTCTTCTGACTCCCCACATATCTGAAAGGATTTTTTATTGTCCTTAATATGTGTAGCCAGTTGGAGTTTGGTTGGAGCCTTGACTTTCCTGGTTCGCTCCCTACCGGTCCAGGCTGGGCTAAGCTGTCCCATTCACCATGAAAGCATTTTCTGATCATGTACAGGCAGTCCTCAGACTTATGACAGTTGGTTCCTGAAAACTGCATCTTAAGTTGAAATGTTGTAACTCGGAACCAATTCCCATAGGAAACAATGTTATAAATGAGGGACTGGTTCCTGAACCAAGGCCCAATACCCTATTTTCACCAAAAATAACCCAGAATTTTGTACTCAATCAAGTAAAGATTAGTAATATAGCTACATTAATGTAACTATATTGTAAATAGCAATCATACTGATTTGGAAGAACTTCTTTGAGGTGACTATAGAATCATAGGGCTGGAAGAGACCCCGAAGGATCATCGGGTCCAGGCTCCTGCATGAGCAGAAAAGACATCTGGAGTCTGGTGACCATCCAGTCTTCTCTTGAAGACCTCTTGGATAAATGATTGCACCATCTCTGGGGGAAGCTTGTTCCATAGTCTGGACACCCTAGTTGTGAAGAAGCTTTTCCTAATAGCCAGGAGTTTGTGGCCGTTGTTTCTAGTTTTCCCCCAGGGCGACTTGGTGAACAGTTGTTCACAGAGCCCCTGATGTATGCCTCTGATATAACAGTAAGCCACAATCAGGTCCCCACTCAGCCTTCTTTTCTTTAGACTGAAGAGTCTGAGATCCCTCAGCCTCTCCTCGTATGGCTTGCCATGCAAGTCCCTGATCATACGGGTGGCCCTTGTCTGGACCCTCTTGAGCTTTAGCACATCCTTGTTGAAGTGTGGCACCCAAAATAGTCCAGCTGTGGCTGCACCAATGTTGAGTAAAGCGGGAGAACCACTTCTTTGAATTTACTGGAGATGCATCAATTGATGCATGCCAGAATTTTATTGGCCCTAGGAGCTACTGCGTCTCATTTCTGGCTCATATTCATGCTGGGGTTTATTGTTACTCCAGATCCCTTTCATTTGTAGTGCTGGTCAGGTTAGCGATGCCCAGCCTGTAGGTGTGCTGGGGTTTCTTCCTTCCCAAATGCAGCACTTTGGATTTCTCTGTGGTGAACCTCACCTGGTTCTGTTCTGCCCAACATGCCAGCTTGTCTAGATCTGCTTGTATCTGCAGCCTATTTGCGGGCGTGTCCGCACAACCCCATATCTTGGTGTCATCCATGACCTTGGCCAATGGGCTTTTCACCCCCTCATCCAGGTTGTTGATGAAGATATTGAACAGCCCTAGGCCAAGTACCAACCCCTGCGGTTCACCACCGTCCACATCTCGCCAGGACGACACCAATCCATTCATATGGACTCTCTGTGTCCTACCCGGCAACCAGTTTCACACCCACTTGCTGGTCCCACAGTTGAGCCCAATATCTTCCAGTTTTCTGATCAGTACCTCATGGGATACCAGCTCAAAGGCTTTCTGGAAGTTGAGGTATATGATGTCAACCGGTTTTCTCTCGGCCAGGTGATGAGTCACCTGATCATAGAAAGAAATGAGGTTATTCAGACAAGACCTACCTACGATGAAGCCATGCTGGCTGGCATTCAGTATCATGCTTTCAGCAAGTTTGTCACATGTAGCCTCTTTGATGACTGTTTCTAGGATTTTCCCTGGAATAGAAGTTAAGCTAATTGGCCTGTAGTTTCGTTATGCTGGACGTTTTGAAGGGTTCTTGGCTGGAGTCTTCTCAGGAGTCTTGGCTGCAGGTTTTTCTGGAGTCTTGTCTTCTTTCTTAAAGAAAGTATCCAAGGAAGTTCGGACAGATGTTCTCCAGGGAGAAGGGCAACGCAACAAACTTGTTCACTGGCATGGCATGGTGTGGCATCGGATCAAGCATTGTAAAGTTGAAACTGACATCAGAAAGTTGAAAACGTCGATTTATAAATGTTGTAACTCAAAACTTTGTAAGTCAAGGACTGCCTGTAATGCCTAATAGAATAATGTTTTATGTATGTGATAGCATTTTTACAAAAATTCAAGGATCATGTTAGGTAAGTAATAGGAAGACTAGTTGGGAAATTCAAATCAATATTTTTATTTAACTTCTTAAAATTTCAATCAGATTTTTTAAATTTAAACAAAATACTTGACATTTGAATTTCTGAGAGTTTACAGTGAGGCATAAACTCACAATAATATATGGGAATGCTTTACATAGGGGGAAAAACATATTTAGGCATATATAAATTTGCTGCTGAACTATTAAAAAAAGCCAAAATACTGAGCTGATAAAAAATCACTGATTAACCACCTAATGTTAAACAAGCAATTAGCAAAGGCCTAATTAGCTCACAGTAAAATGAAAGGAAACATGCATGGGCTGCTCTCACCAGGCATTGGCCTGTGGCCTGGCCCCACCTAGCACGACCAATAATTAATTAGTAATAATCACGCTCAACAATGATGAGGGGTAAACAACTATATTGTACTACAACCAATGAACAATAGCAAGCAAAGTACAATAGAAACAAATACCAATCAATAACCAACCAATGAGAGGAACCCCAAAACTCCTGTAGTTGGCGCTAGAGAGCAATCTCTCACAACACAAATGAGCAAGATAGTCAGACACTGGGTATGGTGACCTCTACTCAGGTTAGTGTCCCTCTGGACAACCACACCAACAGCATGCTCTCATGGTCAGTCACAATGAGGTATTGACTGCCCCGGTCCTCACTCGTGCTTACCCACCGGACTGTGCCTCTCGTCATGTGCGATCACCATATATATACAGGCAGTCCTTGACTTACAACGATTTGAGTTACAACGTTTCACACTTGCAACATTTATAAATTGACGCCCTGTTTCAACTTTCGCATATCAGTTTTGACTTCCCAACGCTTGATCTGACACCACGCTAGTGAACAAGTTCATTGTGCCAACCATGTCCCTGGAGAACATGTGTCCAAACTTTGTTGGACACTTTGTTTAAGAAAAAAGACAAGACTTCAGAAGAACCTGCAGCCAAGACTCCAAAGAAGACTCCAGCCAAGAATCCTTCAAAAAGTCCAACCGAGAGCCCTTCAAAAAGTCCAGCAAAGTCACCTCAAAGAAGTCTTTCCAAATCAATGTGATTGCTACTTACAATATAAATGCATTAATGTAGCTATATTACTCATCTATAATTGATTGAGTACAAAATTCTGGGTTTTTATTGGTGAAAACAGAGTATCGGGCCTTAGTTCAGGAACCAATCCCCCATTTATAACGTTGTTTTCTTTGGGAAAATCAGTTCTGAGTTACATTTCGACTTAAGACACATTTTTCAGGAACCAATTGTGTCATAAGTCCAAGGACTGCCAGTACTCTCACTGTGCCAGGCAGCTGTCACTCACATGATGAACCAATCACCACACAGGTGCACCCAACACACGCTTGTGCACCCAGCACACACTGCTGCACACAGCCCTATACAAAAATAACTATTGGAGTCTCTCAAAAACTCCTCTGAGTCCGCCAGCCAAAGTTTGTGTCCCAACTGAGCATGCTCACAAACCAGAATGAGATCATCAGTTCAAAAGGTCACTGATTTCAGTGCCTTGTAGAACTGACTGTAACCAACACACAAAACCAGGGCAGGGGACAGTGGCACTATGATTTTCACTGTCAAAACTAAAAGTTAAAATGCTAACCTGTCTTTTGGGAGCATTAGCAGGATTCAGAGAAAATATTTTTTCCATTTCAATTTCTCTAAAAGGTTTAGTTCAGTGAGTGACTTATTTAGTTGAAAAATCAATTGGGAATTGAAAAAGCAAGAAAATTTGTTTTCCTTCTCTTATATATGAATACAAATGATGATGTAGAGGATGAAAGATACTAATTTTAAAAACTTAAAAATTATGAAATAATCAGTTGAGTTTATTCGTCCTTTAAGAAATTGGTTTTGCATATGACATATTTTTCAAAAAATTACCGTTTTCCTATGAATGCAACAATTTTAAGATAATTTTATTTAATAAATAAAAACAATTTAAATGGATATTTTTATTAATTTTAAATTAAATTCTAATTTTAATTCAAATATAATTTAATCCAAATTATTGTAAATATTATTTATCATCTAGTATCATCATTATTTATCATCTATCATTTGCTAGATGATTAATGTTATTTATCATCTAGTAAAGGAAGGCATCATTCACCATTTTATAAAATAATAAAATCTACAGTTTAGAAATATGAACAAACTTAAGTTAATATATTGCTTAAATTCATGTGTATAAATAGAGTGCATGGGGAAGAAAGTACCAACTTCAGTGTAAAAGCTGTATTTACTTTGCAAAGTAACCTATTCTAATGGCTGTCAGTGAGAAATAAAAAGTAGAAATTGATAAGGAGATTAAAATCAGTGATTTACTTTAAGGATTTCTTCTTGTGGATAATTTAAAAAGCTCTGTTTTATTCTGAGTCTTATCAGTCTGTATACTGGCTCCCTAGTTTGGTTTTTTTGCTGTATTTATGATTCCATCATGTATTAGCTTTCATTGGGACTGGCATTATTGTGTACTTTTTGTCCAAATGTATTCCATACATTATAATTTAGATGCAGACCTAATCTATAATTTTTTCTTTTGCAACCAAGGGGAATAAGGGGACCTTTCTATTACAAATTCAACCTACTCATGCTTCATTTAATCACAACCTGTTATGAGATGCAAATTGTATGAAGATTCCCAACTGTAAGTTCATCTTATATGTGAAAACACTAAGACTAGCTAAAACCATATTTAGTCTGCCAATACATTTAGTAAAGATTTGCAAGATTCATATTATTTCTGTTTACTTATTTCTGTTTATTTGTTTCTAAATAATGAGAGGTGCTACTCAGCTCCTTCCAAAGCTACTTCTAGTTCCTTGCTTTCTTGGTTCCATGCCCAATTATCTGGTAGCTGTAAACATTCTTCTGGTGACTTCTCTGATCCAAGATCCTTGTTCTGTGGAATATCACAGTGTTAATATATCAGTTCTTAGGTAGTGAGATACACCATTAATGGGAAGGTTATAAGAATCTGAACCATTCTTTCTGTCTGATTTCTAGTCATCTTGAGCAAGATTTAAAGATGATCTCTAGACCACTCTAGACTTCATTTTTATATCTGTCAAATTATAATACAATTGCATGGTCACATCAACCAAAATATTGAATGAATTGTTGTTGCTATTGTATTAGAAAGGCCACAGTTTTGTTATGTGGACTTAAAATTCATTTGCTACTGCCAGTCTCTTTCTTGAGGTGCCACTTTTCAGATAGGTAGATTTACCAGTTAGGTAGTTTTAGGTAAAAGGCTAGTATCAAGCTGACTTATCCACTTACTGTACCTTACTATGGAGTTTGGAGTGGTATTGTAACAGATACAGGTGTAGATTCACATGGACTTGATGTTTACTGTGGGATATACTATGGAGAACAATACTTCTCAACTTGGGTGCCTTGAGATGCTTCAAAGGTTGCCACAGGGTGCAACATAATGCAACACTGTTAGGTGTCCAAGCCATGATTCACAAAATAAACACAGAGATTTCAAATAGGGATTCATAGTGCTGTGGTTTTTCTAAGTTCTTTGTATTGAAAGAATTGCTGTTTTATTTTTCTCAGGGGTGCCTTGTGTCTAACAACAGGTACCTTAAGTCTAAAAAGGTTGAGAACCACTATCTAGAACTAAAGACATTTTATTTTAGCTTTTTAAACCTCATAATACTAAAATTCAGATATATTAGTTTTATTATCCACAATCTGTTGCTGTCAGGGCTTACCATACAAAGGGTTAAAGCAATGCTCACAGGGACACACAATTGGAACTGATGGACTATGATTTCAAAGGATTTTTTTAAAGAAAATTCCAGTTACAGATAAGTAATTTTCCTTTCCAGCTTATTAAGCTCCATTTCATCCTTCTGCAATTCAAGATCCATATCCCTTCATCCTTATTTCAGGAGATACTTTGAATATGAAAATCTGATGTCAAAATTAGCTGAAGCCTTCATCAGGTTTTTGAAAACCTAAGTTTGAATTCTATTTCTAAGATAAACAGGTTTGGATCAGAAAGACTTGCTACTAGCTAGTATTCCTTTTTTGGATGAGAGTTCAAGCAATGTTTTTAATCATATTTTTGTTGATTATTTATTAGTTTCTGTGGGAAATCAAAGGATGGACAACCTAAAATATATCTTTCATAAAATACTTTCTGAATCAGAAGCTGTAGCAAAAAATTTATAGGAAGTGTCTTTCATGTGCTGATATGAACTGATTGAGAGATAAAATATACATCTTTAGCATGTGTGTAACATGCAAATGCAGGTTGACCCAAAAAATGGAAAACTGTATCTCAAGTATCTGGCTGGGGTAGAAATGACTGTTTTAGTACCAGACTAGGAAAATCTATTGTGTGGTTAGCTTAGTGGGGGAGAAGAATATTTTTGTTCTATTCCATGACATCTGAATATGGATGGTTAGAACTAATTTAAAACGTAAAAGAAAAATGCCCCAAGCCAGAAGCTTGAGTAAGTGCATGCTGAAAAAAAAATCCCCAATTGCTAACTTGAGAAACTTCAGATAATATATACCTCCATAATTGGCTCTGCTTATATGTGGTATTAATAAAATCCATAATCACCTAAATATAGCTCCAAACCCCCAATCATTCTTTAGGAATAGCTATATATATTCTGCATGTATACTTTTGAACTGATAGACTGGGATTGGCTTCAGTGATGACACTAATTGGGAGAAAATAATGTCTCATTGTAAAAAAGCAAAGTACACTGTACATTTTACTGCAGAAATCAGCAGTATAAAACCCTGTGTCATTTATAAAATGTAAGTGGTTACATACAAGCAGCTTCTAGCCTTTGAAATTCCTCTCAGAGAAGCACTGTTCTGAACTGCTTCACATTTTCAGACCCCCAAATGACCCACATTTCACATAGCTAAACTTGTAGGCCATGGGAAGCAACTCCATCTTGCATCAATGAGTAAACAGCATTTGGTTGATGTCTCTGGCAGTAATTTCTGACCGAGAGAAATTGTTTGAGAGTAGATTCTTTCCTGACTTCTTCAGCCTTGCAAGGGGCCACTATCTGGTTTTTCCAGTGGACCCTGCTGTGTGTCTGTTCAACAAGCTTCCCACATCAGTAGTATAAGGGTGCCTCTAACTTCCTTAAAAGGCCAGCAAAAGAAACAAGACTTCATTACAACAACTATTTGGTAGGAATATGTCCACTGTCCCCACATGCTATGACATGATGTTGCTGGCTTCCTAAATGAGGAGTGCTAAAGAAATCATTTGTTCACTGAAAATATTGGAATATGGCTAATCTAAAATGATAAGTATTTTCCCTGAGAGAGAGGGATATAAAATTTTAACTTTCTAAATTGTTCTCATAATTTTTCAACAAAAATTGAAAATAGAAATACAAATTTTCTCATTCAATTCCACTGTGAATAGAGATTATTCACTGTAGCAGGGTTTTAAAAAAATGTAAAGGTCTTTTTAAGGGTTTTTTTTAAAGTTTTTTAGGCGTGCTTTTAGAAGCAGAAGTTTCCTCCCCCTTTCTTTTCAGACAAAATTAAAAACAAACACACAAAATAAAAAGAAAGAAAAACTGAAAATATATTTTAAATTAATATCTTCCTCTTGTCAAAAATCCAAATCTTTTTCAGGAAAAGTTTCATTTTTGAAAAAATGGCAAAGCTGTTTTGACCAACTCCCCCTTGGAGAAAGAGGAAGAAATAACCACTGTCTATAAGGAGGAGCAGGGTCAGCTAGAATAGGAAGAGAAAGACTCAGTCTTGTATTTAGAATCAGGGCATATTTGAATTAGGCAATCTGAATATCAGTACTGGCAGATGCATTATCATTCATTGCCACTTATAGTTTCTATTTATCCACATGTGAACTTTTATAAATATTAAGTGAATTTTTCAGTCCTCCTTTTAGAGTAATTAAAGTGTGCACCTATAAGATATGTCTTCAGTCAACACTTTAGGACAGTTTATGAATAGGGACCTACTGAATTCATGGTGGAAGTGGGCTATGCGGCAGCTCCTTTAATCTTGCAGGTTCCCCCATGAACTCCCCTCCATTGCTTATTGGCTGCGTAGCCCTGGTGGCCCTGCTGTTTGCTCCTGACCAGCCAGAAGACAAAAATGGTGCCATATTTAAAACCTCAGTTTTCACCCCCCTGGCTGTCAGAAGCAGGATGGGACTTGTGGGGGAATCTGCAAAATTAAAGGAGCTGCCATGCAGCCCACTTCTACTGTGAATTCAGTAGGTCCCTGTTTATAAAGCCTGGAATGCCATCGCCTCCAGAAGCTCCTTGGCATAAAGTGAGAGAATTGTTGCTCAAATGCCACAACTCAAACACCATCAGCATGAAAGCACTGATTATTCAACATCAGCAGCGGTAGACAGGGCATTGTGCGCGCATTTCTGATGTACGTTTACCAAAACAACTGCTATACTCCCAAGTCAGCCAAGGACAAAGGACATGTGGGGACCAAAGGAAACTCTTCAAGGGCACCCTGAAGGCAAACATTAAGAAGTGTGGCATTCACGCCACAAATTAGAAAAAGTAGCTGAGGACAGGTCTACATGGCGATGCCTTGTGAGAGACAGTACATCTTTGAGAAAAACTATCTTGCCTTGGAGGCTGAAAAATGACAGAAGTAGAAGGAAAGAAAACAAGACTGAGAAATCCATGGTCTGATCTTCCCTTTAACAACTACCTCTAGCATTTGCCAGATAATCTGCAGCTCTAGGATTGGCCTTCTTAGCCATGATGATGACCCACTGTGTGACCGATCATCTTTGGCTGTGAAGGATCACCACTGCTGCTGATAGAGGAAGAAAAAGTGCACCCCACAGGCTGAATATGGTCTAGGTTATATGACAAAACTATCACCCTCCCTAATAGAGAAGTTCTATGGCAGGCCTATGGGACCAATATCAGGTGCTCCATTTTGATCCAACCTGCCAAGCTTCTGATTGAAACATTCACTGCAGCCTGCTTGCAACGTTAGAATCGTAGAATCATAAAAATATAGGGTTGGAAAGGGCCTCAGGAAGTCATCTAGTCCTGTGGTTCTCAACCCTTTTTGTATCAGGACCCATTTGTAAACATCAGTGGCCAGTCCCAACCCAGTGCCCCTCACTCCTGACCCACTACTCCCAACCCCCAGGCCCCAGCCCACCAATGTGGGGCAGGGGGTGGATGTGGGGAGCCCCAAGCAGCCCCTTGCAGGCTGAAACTCTGCCAGCCTGCAAAAGAAAAGCCATGGTTTCCCACAATTTTCTCTTTTAAAGTTTGTTCATCCATTTTTAAAGTTTGTTCACAACCCCGTTATATCTTCTTGTGACCCACTTTTGGGTCACAGCCCATGAGTTGAGAAACACTGATCTAGTCCAACCCCCTGCTCAAAGCAGGACCATCCCCAACTAGATCATCCCAGTCAAGGCTTTGTCTTGAGGTAGTTGAAGGCTGTTATTAAATCCCCTCTCAGTCCTCTCTTCTCACAGCTAAATAAGTCACGTTCCCTCAACCTTGGGTACATCAGGTTTGGCCTCATAGACTTGTACATGTCCAGCTTTTCTAAATATTCCCTAAATTGTTCTTTCACCACTGTTGGCTGCACACCTCCTCCCCAAACTGTGCTGCCAAGTGCAGTAGTCTGGGAGCTGACCTTGCCTGTGAAGACTGAGGTGAAAAAGGCATTAAGTACTTTAAGCCTTTTCTGCATCATCTGTGACTTAAGTTGCCTCCCCTATTCAGTAAGGGACCCAGACTTTTCCTGGTCTTCTTCTTGTTGCTAACATACTTGTAGAAACCCTTCTTGTTACTCTTCACATCCCTTGTTAGCTGCAATTTCAGTTGCACTTTGGCCTTCCTGATTTCATCCCTGGATTCTCAAGCAGTACTCTTGAGAAACACTCTCTAGTAATTTGTCCAAGTTTCCACTTGTAAGCTTTCTTTTTGTGTTTTAGCTTATTGAAGTGCCAAGCTAGTCTTCTGCCCCACTTATTAGTCTTCCTGTACATCGGGGTGGTTTGTTCCTGCAACCTCAGTAAGGTTTCTTTAAAGTACAATCAGCTCTCCTGGTTGCCAGTATAAGTCTGGGTTTGGCACAGTTTAGGTGCTTCCTGGCTGAAAAGCTAGACCAAACCCTGCAAATTTTCCTATTTCATCCCCAAATTAGCAGAGGATTTTGGAGAGGTTTTTGCTCCTGCTCTTGATGCTATTCTGATCCACCTTTTCAAGTAGGTTTTGGGGTGGTGGTAGTGGTGGTGGTGGTTGTTGTTTTAAATGATGTTAAGTGATTTAAGACATTGGGAGTCACAGTTTTTTAATATGTTTTTATTTAATTCCCAGGTGTGTTTGCTGAGGAAACAAAGATAACCTTGTTTGCAAATGAGTCAGTGCCCCCGGTTAATGTCCAAGTGTTCTTTCAACTGAGCTCTGAGACTAATTTCTTCCTGGCCCTGTGGTAACCAGTTGAAGAAGTAGACCAGCTGGTATATCTTCAATCTTGCAAACTAACATCTTTCACTGATTCACAGATTTCCTTATATCCTCAGTACTTCCTGTGGCGCTTACACCCTTTGAATAATAGTAGTTTCAAGAAAAGCGCTGTGCCTTGTATCTACCATTTCTGAGACAGAAGGTGGGGGAATGGTGATCTCATTAAAATACTCCCCACATCTCACCTCTTATATTAACATTTAGCATCTTAGAACTCAAGTGATGATCTCCAAGAATATGGAAGGGTGTGAATATTAGCTATTATTGACCTGATTTTTTTAAACATTTCAATAAGACTCTAGGAATGAGATGTATTAATTCTTATTGATTTGCTCAGTTTTATAACAATTATCAGATATCAGATATGATATTGGGCAGTAGAAAAGAATGGAAGTTCCTTGTGATGTCCCTAGATTTCTGTGTATGGCTAAGATTTGCAGGCCTGCTGTGCCAACCCTAGTTTGAACAGATGTAGTGTTCCACTTGTTGCACAGATGATGCACATACAGGTAATGCAAAACCTATTTAAACAAGGGAAACGATGGAGGCAGGATGGAGGAGATGGGAACAACAAGGAGGCAGCCCTATCTTGTTGAAAAGGATGCACCAAAGGAGAGAACTTCCCAGTCCTGAGGGAAAAGAGGAAGAGGAGACAGAGCCTTCTCTGACTTACAGGAAGGGAAGACAGGGAAAAGAGATAATGCCTCTGGAGGGTAGGGAGAGACAGGAAGGAGATGAGCAGAAAAACATAGGTGAGATACATACCTTGTTGAAAACACTAGAGAGAATTCATAATTTAACAGAAGGCCCAGTTACAATTGATGGAAATAACAGGTATTCTTCCTCCCCTCCCCCTCC